CACGCACACATACAAGAACGATGCTGCCACCAGGAATACTGTGGAGCGAATTGACAGAGAGTGTTTTCTGTTACCTAATATGCCAATGTAGAGGCCTCTACACTGGTTATGTCCTTACACTCAAGGTTGTCTGCTGCATCATCCATGATCTAAGGATGCAAACCTTGCTACTTAATGGGAATCTTGAAGTAGATGGGGGAAGGAAGAGGGGTATCCAGGATACCTTTGTTCCAATGGATTGTCTATGAATGGTTATTCAGATTCTTGTTCCCCTAAAGTCTTATCCCCATATCAGTCTGGGGTGTCTGACAAGCATGCAACTGCAAGGAAACAGATGTGGTAGTGGAGAGAGTATAAATGTTGTCCGCCTAACAGAGGCCAGCAGGTTTGTGCATCACAGAATTACATTCGCTTGGTTTACACCTTGATAATCCTGGTTATCTGTGAAACTGCAGATTGCTGGACTTCTAAAAGACAATGCAAGCCATTTTGAGCAGTGGTTATCGTAATAGCAAAGTGCTCTTCAACCTCGCAACTCCCAGGGAAGTGCAGGTGGACCACAGGAGGGATCATCGTAATAGGGGACACAGAGGTGGACACTCTGGTCAGAATGCTTCTAACTCTCACCCATGCTTTCACTATACCAACCTACCACATCATTCGGACTCACCCCATCATGCTCTTTCCTGTTCTAACAGCCAAGTCTGTTCTGCACAAACCTAAGTGCAGCAGTCTTTATTGGAGCCCTCCAAAAACCAGAGGACCAGAGAGCCAGAGCCCAGTGCATCTCAGTGGTCAGAACGTGGATCTGAGCAGTCTGTTTCTTCCAGTGCTGAAGCAAAAGGGACTACAACACGTACAAGTGCTATGAAGGGCAAGTAGTCTTCACGTTTCTGATGAACAATCAAACAAATGTTAACACAGAGTAATGGGGAACTGTGAAAGGGATGCTGAGTTGATTGTCAGACTCCTTTATCCTTATGGACAGGGCGAGAGGTGATTTGGGGTGGTGGGGGGTGGTGGTGGAAGGTGAATGTTGACTATGGCTACCAGGTTGGTACAACCCAACTGAGCGCTGCACTGGCAGCCTGGGCAGGACTATGCAACACTGCTACTGCACCAACTACATCACATTTCTGCATCTTCTGCCCTTCCTGAAGGTCCAAACCTCATTGTGTACAATGTTTTGTATGATCCTGTACACAAGGTATTGTGCAGAGCACAGCACAGCACACAGACCATGACTATTTTGGAGACCATGGCTGGTGCATATTGAAGGGCATTTCCGGCATCGTGAGGGTTTGCTCAATGCACATCTTGTCATCAGTCAACTTTTATTGTATTACTCCTTGTTACATTGTTATTGGTTACATTTCTCGTTGGTGAAATCCCATTTTAAGTACTCCCTGCAAACAGCCAGTAAGTTTATTTCAATGTACATAGAGGTGAGGGTGAGTGGTGTGGTGCAGCATAAAAAAAATCATGTCAGCTCTGCTCACCTGTATTCCTCACTTCATTGCAATTTCACATCTACTGCACAAGATGCCCTGTGGTTTATAATACCCCTGGGTGATCTGGAATGTCCCAACTACCACATCTTTGCAGTCAACATTCAGATGTTCTAACCTGTGGGAAAATAGGCAAGCCTTCAAACCCAAACACTCATATCTTGATGATATCTAGAAAATGCTGAACTAATCGGTGACAAATACTGATTCCAGGGGTGGCACAGTGGTGAGCAGCAGGGACCTGGGTTCAATTCCACCCTTGGGTGACTGTGCAAATTCCACACAGACATTCTCCCTGTGTCTGCGTAGGTTTCCTCCGAGTGCTCCCAATTCCTCCCACAGTCCAAAGATGTGCAGGTTAGGTGGATTGGCCATGCTAAATTGCCCATAGTGTCCAGGGAATGTGCAGGCCAGGTGAATTAGCCATGGGAACTGCAGCCTTGTGGGGATAAGGAGAGTCTGAGTGGGATGCTTTTCAGAGGGTCGGTGTGGACTTGATGGGCTAAATGGCCTGCTTCCACACTGTAGGGATTCTATGATTCCAGCAGCTACAGTGCTTTGTTTTTGCACTCTCATTCTGATGGGTATTATCAGTGACAAGTGTACAACTACCTTTGGCTAAAACACATCAGTCAGTTGAGTGATTCATTTGTTAGCAGCTGACTGTGAAATCCTGTCAATGTCAAAAGCTGATCCTGAAAGGTGTCAGAAACAAAGAAGTCGAAGGTAGTGGTAGTTTTGACAGCTACTGGTAACAGCCACGCCACCAGGTCTGCTTTAAACAACCTGTAATTGGCCTAGTACAGGTCTCTGAACCTACTTTGATTCTCAGACATGACAAAGGAAGCTGTCTGCCTGCCTGAACACTCCAGGCTGTGCTTATCGTCTCCTATGAGCTGCACCCCTTTGCTCATCTGTCATGAGGAGTGGCAGGTCTGAGGAAAAGGCTGCAGCTCTATCCTGGCAAGAGCTTTGCCTGTCATTTACTCAGCCCCCTCAAGTGCCACTGTCTTCTTGCTTTGATTTTACTGCCAAGTCCCAGGAAACTCATCTTCAGTCAAATCTCAAAAATCACTGCCAAAATAGTCTTCAATTAATTACTAACATAGCTCACATGCAGCCGAGAGCACTGTAATTAAATGCAGAGGTCAGTACTGGAGCCTGCTTCTCAAATAAAACTCTGTTAACCTCTACATATGCCCAAAAGTTAAAAATTCCCTCTAATGGTGGAATCTACTCAGGATCTGAATGACATGAGTGAAAGCAAGAAATATGGGATAAACGAACGAGAAACGCACAAGTGAGGTCTTTCTAAACACTAGGAGCAATGAGTTGTGTTTTGCAGCTACATTCCAGACACCAAAACAAGATTCTGACTTGTGGGCAGCGAGAGACCTATTAAGAGAGCTTATCGCTTGTTTTCACACATTACCAGCTAATTTCACCACTCCCATTCTACCAACCACTGAATAGAAACTACACACCAAGAACTCCTGACCTGTAAATCAGAGAACGTACTCAGTGACTCCAACATGCAGATTGTTCCTCTGAACTTCCACCTTGGACATCAGGCGCCAACATCTAAGGCTATGGTCTATTAAGAGTGACAGCTTGTGTTTCACAGTCATAAATGCTGCCATCTGACACCTTCCAGCCTTTTGCAATCTCAAGGTATATTTCCAATCCACTTGCATTATGTTCACTTCTGTACTTTAATGATGCATTTTGGAATGCACCAGCATCACTTATTTGAATGCTATCGCAAGGATACTTTGCACACAGGGACATGCATCCAGCTCTTTGACTGGACCAGGCCACATCTCTGGGCAGGTTGCTTGCTCTCTTAGTGCTAACTTACATAGAGATGTCAAGAGAATCTGGGTATGCTCTGTCTTGGCTTCCCTTTTTGCACTTTGCTCCTTTGTCGAGAGCTTAATGGTTCACAGTATTGCCGCATTGCCTTGCTACTCAGCGCAGACACAAGGCCAAGCAGATTGCCACACTGGTCAGCATTCAAGGGGGTGGTACATTGTTATGTCAGTTTCACACTTGCACCATATACCAGTACCATACACAGAAAAGCACTGCATGTGGCAGAAGCAAATAGCCATGTCTCAAGTGCAAGAGTAGTCATCAGTGAAGTACAGGGAGACATCCAGCAATCAGGGAATTCCTGGTACAGTACTGTAGGTCAAGGGCAGCCTCTGGCATCAGTCCAGGTATTTCGTACAGTGAGGCACACAGGGCTTCAGGATCAGGATTGTTTCCTCTTAAAGAATGAGAAGATGACCATTAGACACCCTACCACTCAGCATGGGTCTTTCTGTGCTACTGTTGGCTGCCTTCTCTTGAAATGAGAGAAAATGTGGAACTGCACGAGATAGAAGTGGTTAGCGCAGCTGTTAGTGCTGGCACAGGTATGGGGAAAAGTGGTGAGAGGTGGTTCCTGGTTAGTAAGGGGATCAAGGGTTACAGGGAGAAGACAGGAGTATGGGGGTTGAGAAACAAATCAGCCATGATTGAATAGTGGAGCAGACTCAAATGTCCCAAATGGGCTAAGTCTGCTCTGGTATCTCTGGTCTTATGCACAGAATAAGTAGACAGTATATAGATGGTGCCTCAATTATAGTGTGGGAGGGTTTGAGGTGGGTTAGCATGAGGATGCAAGATGTTGCAGGCAATAGGGAGAATAGAGGACCATAAGTCTTGGTGAAAGGTGGGTTCAGTAGTAGAGATAGAGTATGGGGTAGCAGAGACGGGAGAGTAGCACTTATCCTGGTGGAGCGGAGAGAGTCATTGACTTTCTTCCGATCCACTATTGGGCATTCCTCCAGATGGCTAAGAGTTACTCAACTGGTAACCATGGGCCAGGTTGGCAGTATCTGGTGTCATGGCCTCCTCTGCTGGTCCCAGGGGAAGATGGACCTCTGCACCACCCCATACAGAAGGATCTCCAAGTGTTTGTCCCCTTCTCTGCCACAACTGAGACAGATGTTGCAAACTGTGCATCACTGGAATAACAGTAGTTGACTGGGCACACAACAGCCTTTTAAAGATGGCACCAATGCCAGAGACATTCCAGCAAGTATTTCTAGCTATGATGAGTGGGAGACCATGGGGTGTGGCAGGTAGTTAATAAAGTAAGTTTTGGATAATAATGAGAGAAAATTTGCGAGCTCCTTTGAAGAGAGCTCCTCCATGAAACTCGAAAATGACACTTTTATTAAAACATAGCCCCACGGGTCCGAAAATCTCCAGAAACCTCACGTACAAAATGATTGAATTTAATACCGATGTTACCAATCAAATTCCAGAGGTCATGTCACACATTTAATTACAAAATAAATCAAATTATATTGAAGGAGTAGGTACATAATGAAAATAATAATAAGAACCTTTCTGTCTACAATTAATATGATAGGAAATCAAAGGGAAACACACACAAAATTACAAGCAAGTTTCAATTAAATAAAGAGTAACCCAATACTGTGGTTCAAGGACTGGATGAGTTTATTGAAGAGATGTTCATGAATTGTTGAACAACACTATTACTTTTTCATGTGTTTTAATTTTGAGGTCAAATAGTAATGCATACAGAACAGCAGTACAAATGACTCAATTACAAGATCCTTTCAAGAAGGGAGCAGTAGGAGCTGATTAGGATAAATCCAGCACTGAACACAAATACAGCTTAGCAAATGGGGAAATCTGACTCAATGATATAAAAACAACATAATTAAGAGAAATATAATTCATCTTAAAACTCAAACTGAAAATGCCTGAACTGATCAGTACATTTTTGACATCTGGAAAGGAAAACGTAACTCTTCAGACCTAGTGAAGATATTGGGTGAGGAATTACAGTCTTGATATTTCTGGATACTGTAATATTAATTTTGATATTATTGAGCCATTGATCAGGCTTAGTGGGGATAAAACTCAACTACAAACAGTCACCACCTAATGACATGAATGGCACCATAACATATTGGCTTTATGCCTAGCAAAGCGTTATGCCAGAACCAGAGGGTGGGGTACATTTCAAAAATGTCTTTTTCCTTGCTTTGTGGAACAGGAGGAATAAGAATGCTGTCTTCAAATCTCTGAAGCAGTCCTTTTCTATCCCCTACATTTCTATTACCAAATTTTCACTTTTGTTCCAAAGTCAGGGACTAAATCTGACTGGGTGTCCAGTATCTTTCCAGAAGGCTTGATGTGACCCACCTCTCCAGGTTTGACCCCGAATGTCTAAGCTTGCGCACACAAATCTTGTTACATTGTTAAATTCAAGACCAATCTCTTACACAAGACTCTTTACCTGTTCCATAAATATCCCACTTAGATAGTAATAGTCTTTGTCAATGGCCTCACAAATATCCACCATCTTTCTGGTTTTTGTCTTGATTTTACTCAGTTATCTAGCATGTGTTTTTACATTTAAAAGACTAACACAGAATTTAAATGCTAAGAACTGATTTTAAAATTGCCAATGAATATGGCCAATTTTAACTCAAATTGCAACACATCAGCAACTTTAAAAACTGCATCATATACAAGACAAGGTGGTAGTGATGTGCTGGTATTGCCTCTGGGCCAGTAATCCAGAACTCCCATACTCTGTGACCATGACTTCGAATTTCACCATAGCAGATGGTGGAATTTAAATTTAAATAATAAGCCTGGAATTGGAAGTGCACTATGAAGCAAACATTAATGATTTAAAAACCCATCCAGTTCACTAATGTCCATTGGGGAAGGATATCTGCCTGTGTTAGTGATTCCTGGTAATGTGGTTGATGCTGAATTACTGTCTGAAACACCCTAGCAAGAATCTCATTTTAAGGGCAGTTAGGGATAGACGCACCCGCAACCTATAAAAGAATTAGGAAAAATAAATCATGGGTTGGATACAACTGTCTACATTATGATTAGCTTTACTTCCATTATATCTTCAGTTATTAAACCTAAAAAATGTAAAGCTTGTAGTAAAATGCAATTACATGATGCTATAATATGAAGGCGATATGCAACAAATCTCAAATTTTCAACTTAAACAATTGAAACTGCTGTACGCTTTGGTGCCGGATACAGGCATATAATCCAAAAATCCAAAAGTTGAATTATCATTCAAAACAACAGTATAAAAATTGTAAAAGGTATTAGAGGCTGACAAAAAAAAAAAAAAAATGCTTTTTTAAGCATTACTAAAAAATGTTGTCAAAGACAATAAACAATTTTACAAAGACAGCAACTAGTAAGTGATTATGATACAATGGTTTGACCTCGCTGACTTAAGTGGATTATTTCAACTATATGCAACAAAAAAGTTGCCTTAAAATTTACATACAAAATATTTATAATCCAATGAACTGTTTTAAATAATCTTAAAACTGTGAAAAATTTCATAGTGTTTATTAATCCATACATTTCTAGATTTATTTTGAAGAAAAAAGTACCAATTTATTTGAAGTAGTGTATTACCATCACATAGCTGTCATTTTAAAGTACTTAAGGATTTGGTTCATTCGGAGGACGAAGTTTGCGTGTGTTAAAGTAGCACACCACTTGCTGAGGCAATTCAGCGAGGACACTTTGTGCAAGAGCTTCTTTTGTTGCCTGTAGAGATATAAATGTTAGTCTAATTAATATAAACAAATCAATTTAACTTGAAATTAACAACAACTGTTTCTGAAATTTAAATAAAAATGCCACATCTCAAAAATATATCAAATGCATATAGAGATTCAAATAATCTCTACATTTTATAAATGTTCAAGGGGAAAATTTCCCAGTAATTAAAGCCCAAGACAGAATATGTTCTTGAAAAAAAGTCAGCACATTTCTGTCAATAGCTCAATAGTACTTCCTGCAAATTTGCATTCACAAATAAAATTGTGTGACCAGAAAGGAAGAACTACAAAAGGTACAAATAAGACAGGTAAACTAAAGCACATTGTTGTTAATAACTTTTGTTATAGAACAGAAGGTAAAATAGCCACAGCAAATAAAACTGAACTTAGGATGGAGGAGGCTACCACCTACTGGTCAGGCCACTGCATTAGGATGATGCAAGTCATGAGTCAATTCCAGTAATACTCATCAGTAAACCAGATACTCCAAATCTGACAAATGTCACTTTATAATTTGGTTAAAATGCATCGGTGAGAGAGGATTCCAATATATCATGAAGATAGAGTATAGAATTAAGCGTTTGTGGGTAACTCCTGCAAAGACGCAAGAGTTACTTGGCCATAATGAAGCACTTCTAAAAATTAGATAACAATGCTTTGGATTCTACAGAAAATATAAACTAGACTTACCATTTTGTTTGGCAGGACAGTGCAACTTTTGAAATAAAAGTGGTTGTAGAAAAGAAGATCATTCAATAAAAGGTCTTTAAGAAAAGTTCCAAGTGTGATGCTCACAAAGCCAATTTTAAGTTACACAACATTTCAATCTTACTACCATGTGATTATGGATACAGAATTGGACTGTTTTTGAGGTCTGTATGTTGGGTAGATGGCTAAGAGGCTAAGCCGATGCACTAATAATCCTTTGTACTTTAAAAAAAGGCAAGGCATTTAGGACTGAGATGAGGAGTGGGATCAAAGGATTGGATGGTTCTTCTGATATGTTTAATTTGGCTTACTCAATAGTGAGACACAAGTACTGACAAGGAAAAAGTCAAGCATCCAGATATTATAATTTTTCAATGAGTACATATACTGAATGAATAAAAAAAACAAACTTTTCATGAACATGGAAACAGACAATCAAATCACTTCACAATTCATTTTCCTATTTTATTTAATAGTTGCAAACTAATCAAAAATTGTAGTTTTCTTCTCAAACTTTCTTTCCAAACTTGGGTACAATGCAGTTACTCTTCTTCCTATCAGGACTGAACTAGAAGGAGTATTTAAATTGAATTTCATGTCCATCAGGTCACAGTGAATTTAACTACCCGAAATAGACAGATCTCAGGAATTTATTAGAAATGGGAATATTGATAAATTTATAAAGAAAAACACAAAACCTGCAGTGCATGTAGCAATGAGTAAGCATATGGTGATTAATATGAAGCTGCTTACTTCAGGAATGATGATGAGGTTAATAGTACTTGTTGTTAATTATACATGAATAGCTAAATGTGGAAGCAGAATCTTACACGAAGACATGGTTAAAAATACAAGTGTTGCTTTCCAATTTGTGCCACTCCAATATGAACTGCATGGAAATGGACAGCTCGTTAACTGCTTCACCATTGAAATGTATTAAATGTATGAAAGTTGTTTTACTTAGCAGTAGGTGATCAATTAAAATTAAACTTGCCACAGAAAATTATATACTAGCAATTCTACTCAATTTGCCATTTAATGACATGGGTTAACAATTGCTCTAGCACTAAAAAATAAATCAGGAAGCACAGAATCTCATTCTTTCAGGGTAGAGTTTCAGCTTTTCAGCAGATCTGGTGATCTGAACAGAAGTTCTGATGAAATTAATTTAATTCTTCAAAATAATGTTTCAGGTTTCCATTCAAACCTATCTGCATTGTCACAAACAAATTGCTTCACAAAATACAAAATTGGACATTGTTTCGCAACATGATTTTTTTTCCTCTTCGCATTCAAAAAATTCTTGATACACTTAGCAGCAGCAAAATGGTGTATTTTTAATATATCGGAAAATGGGTTTATCATAAATAATAAAAGTCAAAGAACTGTGGTTGCCAGACATCTGAAACAAACAAAAACAGAAACTGCTGGAGAAACTCAGCATGTCTGAAAACATCTATGGAGGGAAAACACAAGCAAATGTTTCAAGCCCTGTGACTCTTCTTCAGAACTCTGTTTTCTCTCCACAGATGCCACCAGATCTGCTAAGTTTCTCCAGCAATTTACACTAGAGTTTATCATAAAGGCAAGGACTTTCAATAAGTGTCTAGTACACCAGCTATATGTAATCCAATTTTAAATTAAAAAGTGTAGAAGACCATTTACTAGCTTTATTGCTGTACAATACAAGGTATCTACTTAATCTTCAAATTCCCCTTTAAGTCCCACAGACAGAGTCGGTTAATGGAAAATTGTTGAGCTGATTCATTCAATTTAGGGTTTGTGGAGATTAGTGTGTGGGCTATCTTTCACAGCAAAGATTTTTTAAAAATCGATACAAACCATTACAGAAACTTCATTTACAATGGACGTGCTAGAAATTTCTTGACTCTGAACAAGGTTACAAAATCCCAAGTGCTGACAGTGTCAAAAGCATTTTTTGTTTATTTTTTCTGTATTTTTTCTCCCTCTCTGAAGCTAATATTTCATATCCCTCCATTTCACTTTCTGTATCTGACTTGACATTAAATTCATTCATTCTAATTTACCCTTATAACCAAGTTATCTATAAAGTACTGATAGCACAGACATGGATGACTTAGTCCAAGAGTTCCATGCAGTGTTTGTGTTCCACAAAAGCTTCCTCTCACACCTATCATCATCTAATCCCATCAACATTTCCTTGTATTCTTCCTCATCGGTGCGGTCAGGTGGCCAGCAGCAGCAGTGCTTACAAGACTGGTTAAGAATTACAATCGAGCATGTTGGAAATTTTGACCAAGTTAGTTTAAACTCTGACCTCGGTTAAAACTGCAGCCAGGATACGGCATGACCTGCAGTTTCCTGTGTTGACCAAATAAGACAGGTGTCATGTGACCAGTTAAACAGACTGGCATTTTACTACCTTATATGGAGAATGGAATGTGACTTTAATTTTTGGGAATTTTTTTGACCAGCAAAACTTCATTGGCTGGGATCAAACAATGCAATCAGGCTAAAAATCAATTCATTTGCTGAGTGCCAGAGAACTTTCTGGAAAAGGAGCACATTTTGAGATAAGTTAGTTAAACAAAGATTTTTTTTTCTGGAGAAGCCTTCGAGCCCACATTTGAGAAGTACATGCCCTAAAGTTATCTTCAGAGAAGACACAGAACCATGAGGTGTGATCTACACAGGGAGCAAAGTTGGCCACTTCACTCAAATCCGGACAGTATTTGATCCAAGCTGAACGGTGAGTTGAAGTTTAGAGTTAGGATTAAATATGAATTAAGTAAAGTGAATTTAAATAAAGTGAGTTAAAGTTGAAGTTAAATTAAAGGAAACGTAAATATTGCAATGATGCATGTTTTACACTTAAACAGTTTAAATAAAAGGGCTGTTTAATTACATTCTGTGTCTGTTCCCTGTCTTTTGTCTGTCATACAAAGGTAAGAATACCTTGGGTAAAAGGTTTGAGCGTTCCTTTTCAGGCAATATCGGTTTATTAAGATCTTAAATATGTCAAACTGTTTCCTGTAACTTCTTACCATTTCAAGTTCTACATTCTTAGCACCATCTCAGTAAAGTGGTGTGCGCTAAACTCCCTGTTGCATGTACTAATGATAGTTTATATTCATGGTCCTTAGTTTTGATCTTGCCTACAAGCAGAAATATTTCTCAATGCACATCCCTTCAATACCTGTCATAATCTCAAAGGCATGTATCAGACCACAACTGAGTCTCTCTGCCCTTCAATGGCAATATTTGCCCACTTATCTTCAGCTCACACCAGGAACTCCATGGCAAAGTAAATTTGAATAGTCAAATGACATACCCCTGCTCCTAGATTTTTCACATTCTTATTCTGCTGAAACCATCATCTACGTCTTGAGATTCCAATAATCTAACTTGATTATCCTCTCACTCTACACCCACTGCAAAATTCTCCTGACCATATCTTAATTGGCTCCAAGTCCAGCAAACTTTCAACTTGAACATTTTCAAACCCTAACAAGACCTTGTCACTTCCTATCATTGTAATCTTTTCCAGCCCAGAAACCCTCCAAACTCTGATTTTACCCTTGCCAGATTTCACTTTGTTTCTCCATCAGTAGTTGCGCTGCCAATACCCTAAATTCTGAAATTCCCTCCTTTAGCATCTCTAGACACCTTCAATCTCAATTCCCCTGTACCTATATATCCTTATATGGCTGTGTCAAATTTTGTTTGCTAACACTCCCATGAAGTGTTATGCACAATATTAAAGATACCGCATAAATACAGGTTATTCCTGACGTTGCACTTGACTATAACTAAAGGACATCTCAAAGCAATGTAAATCAGTCCAAAGACAATTCATTTTGATGAATTCTAGAGAGTTGTTTTTAAGATACTTATCTAAATATGTTTAGTTCACAAGAATTTGGACTTAGGGTTTGAACTGCAATCTGTAACAAACAATGGGAGAGGGCAGGATAGAAGCCAGTACAATAAACATGCTAGCTAAATTGGAACAGGTAGATGAGATAGATGTCAGTAATTCCAATAATGCAAACCGCATTTCTGCATAAGTCTGTACATAAAGTCAGTTTTTACAATTAAACAAAACATGAAATAAATTCTTCAGACAGTGATGCTACCATTGTAAATAAGTAAAACTTACATTATGAAACTTCCTAAAAGGCACAAACTGGACTATATCTCGGATAGCTATTTCCCCAGTGGGTGATTTAAGAACACATTCATCACCATCCAGAAATTCCATGGCACTGAAATCTGCTCCACCAACACCAACAATGATGATAGACATCGGCAATTTGGCAGCATTGACAATGGCCTGTCTTGTGTCATCCAAATCTGTAATCACTCCATCCGTGATGATCAGGAGGATGAAATATTGCTGTTCAAGGAAAGAGAATGGCAGTTCATAATTTGCAATTCAATGTGCTGTAACTGAATTTTATACCAGACACAATAAGTACATATTTAATGGATACATAATTTGTGTTATACATTAAATCTGCATTTATAATCCCACATTGGGATTAAAATCACGGCTGAAGTTTTTAGCTTGAGGATAAAGGGATGTTAGAAATATTAAAGGCATGCAGCAGGAGATTAGTATGAATATTTATGATGACTAAGATCTTAAAATACTTAATTTCTAATATAAATTGCAAACAATTTTCAAAACAGCTGAAATCAAAAGGAGGGTGATTCTCTTCTGCAATTCCAAACAAAATCAGGTGACACTGCTGCAGTGAATGTTGGAAAATTCAGGGAGAGAGACCACTACCTTGTGGTGCTGACTGGGATTGTCATCCTTAATATCCATAGGGGCTGCTGCTGCTGCTTCCCTACTCCCAGTATGCAAATGAACTGACTTTACCCCAGACTGTCATCCTTTCCACTCATTGCCGCTTTCTGGGCCTGAGAGGTTGGAGGTGACAACACATCATTAGAAACAACAAGGGCTCCCTTTTTGTAGCTTCTTCCTTCCAGTTTGCTCTTAATACCTGCCCTAGGCTTTACCCTCGGCCAAAGTCAGAGAGTTATAGAGTAATAAGCATGGAAACAGGCCCTTCAGCCCAAACTGGTCCATGCTGACCATGGTGCCCACTCAGTTAGTTACAATTGCTCGCATTTGGTCAATATCCCTCTAAACCCTTTCCGTCCAAGTACCTATCCAAATTTTTTTTTTTTTTTTTTTTTAAAAATTTTTTTTTTTTACCTGCTTTTACCCCTTTTTCTGGGGCACCCCTTCCCATATATGCACCACTCTCGGTGTGAAGAAGTTGCCCCTCAGGTCCTTCTTAAATCATCCCCCTCTCACCTTAAACCTATGCCCTCTAGTTTTCAATTCCCCATCCCTGGGAAAAAGACTATATGCATTCATTCTATCTATGCCCCTCATGATTTTATACACCTCAATGAGGTCACCCCTCATTCTCCTATGTTCCAAGGAATAAAGTCTCATCCTGGCCAACCTCTCCCTATAACTCAGGTCTACTAGTCCTGGTAACATCCTCATAAATCTTCTTTGCACATTTTTCAGTTTAACTATATCTTTCCAATAACAGGGAGACCAAAACAATACACAATATTCCAAGTGCGGCCTCACCAACAACTTATACAACTGTAACGTAATGTCCCAACTCATATACTCAGTGCCTCAACTGACGAAGGCCAGCGTGCCAAATGCCTTCTTCACCACCCTGTCCACCTGTGATGCTGCTTTCAACAAACTATGTACTTGTACTCCTAGGTCCTTCTGTTACACAACACTCCTCAGGACCTTACCATTTACTGTACAAGTCCTACCTTGGTTCGACTTTCCAAAGTGCAATACCTCACATTTATCTGTATTGAATTGCATTTGCCAATCCTCAGCCCACTTCCCCATCTGATCAAGATCCTTCTGTAATGTTTGATAACCTTCTTTGCTATCAACAATACCTCGTAATTTTGTATCATCTGCAAACTTACTAATCACGCCTTGTACATTCACATGCAGGTCATTTATGTAAATAACAAATAACAAAGGTCCCAGCACTAACCCCTGTGGCACACCACTAGTCACAGTTCTCCAGTCCGAGAAACAACCTTTAACCATCACCCTCTGCTTCCTACCATCGGGCTAGTTTTGAATCCAATTACCTAGCTGTCTCTGGATCCCATGCAACCTAATCTTCATGACTAGCCTGCAGTGCGGGACCTTGTCAAAGGTATTACTGAAGTCCATATAGACAACACCCACTGCCCTATCCTCATCCATCCCCTTGATTACCTCTTCAAAAAACTTTAAAAAGATTTTTCAGACATGACTTCCCGCATACAAATCCATCATGACTATCCCTGATCAGACCTTAACTATCCAAATGTTGATTGACCCTGTCCCTCAGTATCCTCTCCAATAACTTGCCTACCACTGATGTCAGGCTGACTGGCCTGTAGTTCCCCGACTTCTCTTTGCTACCTTTCTTAAACAATGGAACAACATTACCCACCCTCCAGAACTTCACCAGTGGCTAAAAATGAAGCAAAAATCTCTGCAAGGGCCCCTGCAATTTCTTCCCTAGCCTCCCACAATATCCGAGGATGGACTTATCAGGCCCAGGGGATTTATCCACCTTAATATGCTTTAAGGCTGCAAATATGTCCTCTCTGGTAATGTGGCTGTGGTTCAAAACATCCCCACTTATTTTCCGTATTTCTTTAGCATTCATAAACACTGAGGTGAAATATTCATAATCCTGAGGCTCAACACAGAGACGGCCATGCTGATCTTTAAGGGGACCTATTCGCTCCCTAGCCACCCCTTTACTATTAATATAGCCATAGAACCTTTTGGGATTATCTTTAACCTTATCTGCCACATCCATCTCATACCCTCTTTTTGCTTTTCTGATTTCCCTCTTAAGTGTGCTCCTACACTTTTTAATAGTCATGTAGGGATTCAATTGAGCCCGATAGCTTAAAGTCTTCGATGGGTGCTGGCTTCTGACCTTTAGAGAGTTTATGCCCGTTTTAAGGTCTTTCACTGCAAAAAGTTCCTTCTTTGCAGTAAAGCATTACGTAATAAAAGCTAGGAGTCTGTCACGTAAATGCAACAGCTCCCACTTCAAGAAATGGATCAAAATTGGGAGATATAATTCAAGCCAGATGGAACCACTGACGCAGAGGAGAATTCACCTCAAAGTGTCTTGCCCATATACAGTTCTCTGCTAATGTTAGACTATCCATTCGTGAAGAATAGCTTCACATGAGAAATGAACCTGTAGCCCTTCCATCAGCCTCAGGCAGTAGAATAAGATGGAAATTAGACTGCAGGGACTCCATGCCATTATTTATTTGTCTCGTTCTCTCAATGCAAATTGGCATAGAAGCACTGTACACTACTCAATACTAACCCACATGGCAATATTTTTGACGTAATCAAAAACACTCAGTTTGACCATTATTGGTATTAGTTGTCTGAGCCAGGGTTTGGTTAGGTAGTGTTAGTACTTGTGAAAGTGAAAATCTCTAACTCCAGTAAGAGACTGCTTTGTTTCTTCAATTCAAACCGACTAGGAGGTTCCAACTTAACTTTCTGTGCTCTAGTGAATGCTAGATTTTTAACCTTTCCATTTGTAACGACATGACATCTATGGTCGTCATCATCATCATTGTGTCAATCTACAATGCATTCTCTTTACCCACAGTTAAAATATTTAAAATGGCACACAGTAATATTTTGGTGCTTCAATTTTTGCCAGACACTGCATAAAGTCAGCACTACTTCGTATGGAATGTACCAGCTTGGTGCAACATAATGTAATATTTTAAAACTAAAATACTTCATTACTGCAACAGAGTTAGCTTCTTGAGGCACTTTACAGAGATATGTCCCAAATGTAAGTGTAAAAATACTCACCGAAGCTATTGCCTGCTGTGCTGCTGCTGCAGCAAATCTTGCCACGTGATTTATTATCGGCGAGAAGTTTGTAGGCCCATGGAGCTTGACTTGAGGTAGACAGTTTCGGTAGGCATCTACTATTCCCTGCACTCCTAACAAATGCAGACATATGGAAATTTCAAAGAAAGAACACTTACGGTCATTCCAGTAACTAGTTTTGCAGTACAACATACATGAAATGGATTCCTGCTTTTCTGTTTCACAAGTCACCTATTACAGAATGATGTACCATTTGGAATAATGCTAGAAAAGAACTGTCTGCATTTATATATCAAGTTATTCAAAAATACTTTGCTGCCTAACTCACCTATCCACTGGTCGCAAGCAATTTAGTTCCTTTTGTAAAAAAAAATTCAACGAACAACCCCTGCCTCCTACTGTTGCCCTAATGTCGGAGTAAATGGAGACAGCCCCTGCTGGATGTCAGTAGGGAAACCAACTACTTTTCTTAATAGCCAGGAAGGCACGAAATCAGGCAAATGAAGAATTGAAGACCTTAATTTAGCACTTAAGTGCCTTAATTGCAAGCAAAACAAGAACGTCCCAAATGGACCTAATTGCATAAGTGGGAAGGAAGGTAGTATCTCTCTATGGCAACTCGACCAATTATTTGCCCTTCTCTTCACCTCCAGAGGGGAGGAAATTGTACCCTAAAATTGATATGTTGTGCTTGGTGACCAAAACATGGGAAAAGACATAGATTTTGAGGAGGATATTAAATGTAGAATTCGTAGAATTGGAATCATGTCATATAATGACTTGAAGTTTTACAAACTAATTTTCCAAGACTGAAAACACAAGATCGATCATCGCCTATGGAAATGAAAAAAAAAGTGGGAAACTGGCCTAGCTATCTGAAACATTGTTTGCATAAGGGTGAATTTTGGTGACCTTAATAGTAGAAGTCACAATTTTTTTTTATTAAATCACAGAATATTGGCATTGCTGGTTAAGCCTATATTTATTGCTGATCCATTATTGCCCTAGAGAAGATTTAAAACTAGAGTTCAAAATTTTCAATCTGGATGTCTCTTCTGCGGTTCCATTGAGAGTATTAATTTCACATCATCTCCTCCAAAATGTACACCTATAAACTGCATCCTAAATATTTTGAAATAAATCGCTGATAAGAAATTACTTTCAAAAAAAAACAAAGCCAATATTTGTAATATTAACTGAAAATACTGAAGAAACTCAGCCCAGAGTGAAACAGTTAAATCTTTTTCAGAATTATATTTAGCAGTACTTCACCTGATTTTAGATCTCTTAGCATCAGGGCTTACAAGTTACAAACGGCAAATAGAACAGCATAATCACTATCATTTCAAAGTACGTTATATTGGTTAGCATAATGATAATTTAAATAAAATCATGTCAACCTTTCTCAGGGCATTTAAGTAAAATATATTTTAGATCTTTCCATCTTGTGTATATACTAAACAGTTTAAAGAATTATTATTTGATTAAAACTCATTTTCATTAGCAAATGAAATAGATATAACCTTTCACATAATGTAGAACTTGAATTTACACAGCTGATCTTCTAAAGGTTTTGTAGTATTTATGCCTTTCAGTCATTGTTTATATGTTATTTTGTTTTTGTCTGATCATTCCCACACTAAGCAGACATTGTCAAATTGCAGTGCTACAAAATATCTCCACCTCACACGATAGTGTAAATAGTTCAGTATGAAATAGGGGTGGCATGGTGGCTCAGTGATTAGCACTGCTGCCTCACAGCACCAGGGTCCCTGGTTTAATTCCACCCTTCAGCAACTGGCTGCATGAAGTTTGCATGTTCTCCCTGTGTCTGCGTACGTTTCCTTTGGGTGCTCCGGTTTCTTCCCACAGTCCAAAACGATATGCAGGGTAGTTGGATTGGACGTGCTAAATTGCCCACAGTGTCTAGGAATGTGCAGGCTAGGTGGGTTAGCCATGGGGATGCAGCGTGGCAGGGAGGGGATGTCTGGGTGGGATGATCTTCAGAGGGGTGGTGTGGACCAGATGAGCCAAATGGCCTGCTTCCACAAATGTAGGGATTCTATGAAAAAGAGTTTTGCTTTTCCATAACCACAATTTTAAAATAGGTTTATAGAAAGTAATAAAAAGGAAGTGCCATACCTGCACAGAATGGATTGGTAGGGTTGAAATTAAGTGGAAATTCATGTGATACCTGCAGGGGAAGAAAGCTAAAGCATAAATTGTACTCAAAATACAAAATCACATTTATAATCTCTTTCATCAATTGCTTCATATTTACCTGCCAGTTAGGGGGTATCTGTGCACCAAATCCAAATGCCGGAAACAATTTGTCTCTTAAAAAAAAAAAACACACAATTATATTCAGAAACTGCCACTAAACAAAAAAAGCAGAGAAAACATATATAACCAACAAATGCCACAAAAAAATATTCTGCAAGAGCGAGTCAAACAATCTATGTCCGTTATTTACATGACGACCACTTGTACCCAGAATGCCTTATTATATGTGTTCATAACATTCAGCTCAGATTGGAGTTTTCTTGCCAAGGTACAGTGTGTGTGCTAACGAGCTAGCACAGAGCTCCATTTTGGTAGAAGTTTTAAAATCTCTTCAGGCAATCCAATGGAAATCAGACAAAATAATTTTGTCAAGGAATTGAGGGCCTCTGAATCTAACTTGAGTAGACAAGAGACACACACTGCTTCTTTTCAAAGAAAGTTTGGCAGACCACAAGCCAGGCTGTGGTCCCAGCAAGCAAGAGCTGTTGGTCAATCAAAAACTGGCAGTTCTTGAGCTCCGCAGTACCAATGGAGGAAGTTGACAATGTCCTCTTCCAGAGTCTAAGGATCCAGGCCATAGTTAAGGAGCTGGCAGAAAGGGTTGCAGGAACCCAGGGTGCGGGCCAAGGAGACATGAGGGAGAGGGATTGGGGAATGGCTCTCAACAGATCCCCACTTTTTGATGTCAACATCCTTCAAACAGGTATTTGATTGAAAGACACCCCCACCAAGGTGGCCAGTGGCCCGCACAGTTTGGCAGCGTACATTATATGCTGACAGGTGAAGTAGTGGCTAGATTAATCCCCGTGATGGTGGAAATGTGGCCCTTAAATTGGTCACTATAGGGCATCAATTGCCTGTGGAAAGGTCAACTGGAGGTGAGAAGGCAGCAGTTTCATGCATAACACCCTACTTTCTTGCTTGACTAAATGCCCAGCCCACCTCCAGGCTCACCGCCCACAACAGCAGATGATTGCATTCAACATTCCTGCCCTCAAGAAAGGCTTTAAACTTTCAATTCCCCAGGCCAATGGTACTGCTGACACCAGTCCAAAACCCCTTCTACTAATTGATGCAGCCTGTACAGGAGGCTTCTATTGCACAAAACTAAGCTGACTGTTCAAATTAAATAGAATTAGATATAATACAGAAAGAGAAAGAACGAGAGATGTATGGGCAAGAAAATACAAAATAATGGTCATGCTGAAAGTTATCTTGCTCCAGTTCTATTTATTCATCCCAACGGCAATGGAGAAGAACAATAAAAAGTGCTGGCCTTGCCAGATGTGCTTACATCCTGAAATTGAATTAAAAAGTACGCGCAAAATTATTACAATGAAATGTCAAATGAAGTGGCAGGAGATAAAGTATCAATAATTGGTTTACAGATATCTAATCAAATAGATCAATCCTGGAAGACTTTCATATGAAAATTTGGAATGCCAAATGATTTTATGATTTATATTAATGACTTGAGCTTGAATTTTCATTTCACCACCAGACTGGGTAGACCCACCTCCAGGTTTAAAAGAGGAATCTCTTGGAGGCAGCCCCCAAATCCCCATCACCAATCAAAAATGACAGGATCGGGAGAAGCAAGTACTGAGGTGGACAGGTTTGAAAGTTCACCTCAGTTGTCTGGTACTTCTTCATAGTTGCAATAAAAGCAGTTTAGCCCTCTAGCCCTCTAGCCCTCACTCGTCAAGGCCCATATATCGCCATGGGTAGTTTTCATCACACATGCTTAGCTGAGACCCCAGACCAATGAAAGCATGACCATCAAAAGAGATTCTGTTTAGACAAGCGAACCAAATTGTTGGTTTTGCTTGTTTTACATCTTGCATTGGTTATAGCAAGCTGTTCTTTGTGATCTCTTTTGTCTCAAATGTTTATGTGAACAAGGTTAAGATGGAGGAAATGTTTGAAGCCTTTTGATACTGTAGTAGTCTGACTGACAATTTTATTGAGTTCCAAAGAAGAATCATTCCAAGTTTGTAGTGTTAACTCTGTTTCTCTCTCCACTGCTTCACCTGGAAGGTGTGTTTGGGACACTAGACAATGAGGAGAAAGGTGGTGAACGGGCCACGTGCCATGGTGGAGTGAGCAAGTATTAAGGCTGATAGAGAAGCGGACCAATGTGTCGTTGGATGGAACAGTCCTTGCAGCATACTGACAGTGAGGAGCAGAGGAAAATGTGCTTGATGGTGGCATCCTACTGGAGATGGCAGAAAATGATCTTTTGAATAGGGAGATTGGTGGGTGAAAAGTAAGGATAAGGGGAACCTTTTGGTTACTTGTCATAGAGGGGAAAAGGTTGAGGACCGAAGTGTGGGAGATGGGTTGGACACAGCTGAGGGCCCTGCCAACCATGGTGGGACAAATACTCAGTTGAGAAAAGAGGACATGTTGGAGGCATCCTGGTTGACTGTGAAACCAGTTCACCCATCTTCTGACAAGGATATAACCATAGTACAAGGAAACCAAGAAAGTGGCTGTATAAATGAAAAGTTAAGAAGTCAGACTGATAAAATAAATAGTAATGCATTACGTATCGTAGTCTTGAATGATCATTCCAACAGACCAGATTGCCATCAGGTATTCATTAAATCCATTAGGACTAATATAATGTAGAGAGTCAGGTTTACGAGGATCTCCATTTGAGCCTGTGAAATCAATACCAACCTGCAATTAAAGCAGCAAGAAAACATTTGCTAGAAATTATTATAAAACAAAATACAGATCCTTAACGTAGCTTCATTAATGCTAAATGGATGTCATGTTAGTTTTATTAAGAATGAAATTCTTAACCTTTATTCTTCACATTGCATTTTATTTGACTGAATACTGAAGCATTTTCATGTTCCCCCTCTAACTGGCAGGCATGTTAATTTTTTTAAAAAATTCATTCATGGGATGAGGGTTGCGCCAGCTAGGTCAGGATTCATTGCCCATCCCTAATTGCCTGAGTCTCTGGATCAACAGTTCAGTGATAATACCACTAGGCCACTGTCTCCTTATTAACAGATCAATCTCTAGTTATTTGCCTTTGATTTCAATAATAATGCAATTATTAAATAGTAATTCATTTGGCACTATGACTTTAATAAGAACTATTTCCATAATTTAAAGCACCCAGTAAGGAACTCACTTCTGGGAAGTCCAGGGATTGGGTCTGCACTCACAAAGGGGGACTACAGCCACTGCTGACCTCAAAATAAGCCACCCACAGACATTTTGTGGGCTCTGAAGTGCCAATGCCCCATTTTGAATTAACTCAAGTCTGATCTTTACCGTTAGGGAACAAACTGTTCAAAACCAGTAAAGTTAACAAGGAAACTGAGCAGCCTCAGAATTCTCACTGGCAGAGAATTAGGATGTTAAAAATTACAGATTCACTTTTAAATTATTTTTCCAAAAGAAGAATAACGAAATGGGGCATGTCTTTCATTTAACATTGTAAAACAACACAAAGGTACATTACAGGATGGGTGGTCCTGGTGAAGGATAGAATATGGATATCTTCAAGATTAAAATGGTCTGGTACATCTTGGAGATATTTCAATGCAGTATGTGGAGATCTCATTTCTCCATGTCAGTGTATTCTCAGTCTCAGGAATGTCATTATGAGCAGATGCTACAAAGATGCTTCATACATCTAATAGTAACACTTTTAGGATGATGGCGAACAAAGACCAGTCAGATCACTCAGCCAATTTTGGCATGCAGCATAACAAAAAACTGATAGTGTACTTCAGCAAAAACTTACACAGATTATTTTTCCAGTACTTCAATAAATACAGTAAAATAGAGCAAACATACAGCTATCAAGACTAGAAACTGCATGTATGACATGCATGCATGTTCATAAGAAAGGACTGGTGACAAAATACACAAATATAATAACATAATGCCATACAACAAGAGGACACATGAATACTGCAGTCAGCTAAATGAACCATCTGAGGTTAACCACTATCACTCCATGGATAGAAACAAACTAACTAGGACCAACACCACCATTCGTTACTCAGGAGAAAATATATTACCCAGGTATCAGTTTTCTTGCTTTGGAAATGATATGGAGCAAAATAAAGCACAGAATAAAACAACAAAAGTAAATTAAGCCATTTATATTGGTATGATAATGTCACATATTAATTTTCATACAGCATAGTATATCCCTATTCCGATTTTAGACCATTGCTGCCAAACTGTAAAATGAGAACAAAACAAAATAGAAAGAGATTAGCAATGAGAATATTATGGATGAGTGTAAACTCCAAGGATTAAAATTAGAGGTCAACCCATTAATGTGTAGAAAATTAATTTGTTAATTTCAACTCATTAAAAAATTAGGTTGACTGCCAAAACCTCCTTATATTATTCATTTTCATTCCCAAAACCGGATGCAATTTTGGGCTCACTTTCTTCATTAATTTACATACTTGAACAATTTACTCACAATGAAGTTCATCTGACAGCCACCCATAATGTAGTCCAAGAAAGAGTATTCTTTCACAATCTGCAAATTAAATATTTAGAAGTATGTTGGATTTTTTCTGCATAACAAACTGAATATCAACGTACAATCTATCAGTTAATATTCTTACCTGAATATTAATATATATTAGGGATAAGGAACAAATGCTGGCATTGCCTGTGACATTCACATCCCATGAACGAATAGAAAAGAAATCTGATCACTTAAAAAGCATTCAATTGTTTTAACCAGTGAGAAGAATTGAGAATGTTTTTAATTAATTAATAAAAGGAAATCACTAATTGTTTCCATCGATAAATTGTCCAGTGTGAAAACTAAATTGAGGAATAAAGAACTAGCATCATTCAAATCCTCAGGCCAGCTGAAAGCATTAATTACTTGCTCCCCATTTTCTGCCACTACAGAACAGGTCACTCACTATGAAGTGCAACTTTACAATTTACAAACTCTGTCCATTATAGTGACGTACCTGCCCATGGTACTTCTCACAGCAACACAGTGATCATAGACACAAAGTCAAAAGGTCACAGTGATATAGTTATTGTGCCATAATGTAACGTGCCACAGTTATTACACTGAAAAAAAATTACTGACATATGAATTTCCCAAAAGAATGGGAAAAGCACCTAAATTAACAAATCCACTGAAGCTGAAGAAATGTGAATGTATGCGCACAAAATTATTGTGAAATATGAGTAACTTTCCTTTAAATACATCCATTAGAAAGAAAGTCACAAACCAGGATACGAGGCTTACTTAGGCTTCAGATATTCAACAGAAAAAGTTTGCAACCAGCCTAGTGTGGATTTGACTCCATTTTTCTTCAAAACACAAATAAATCTATGGAATTTTGCAACAGGACTTGCTTCTCAACAATGTCTCTGTTTTGAAAAGCATACTGTCAAAGCTCCATGTGTTTGTTGATTTTTAAAGAAGTACAACTACAGTGAAAGTCTGTTATAATGGCAATCAAGAAATCACAAATTTGGTGTTAGCACAGGGGTATCATGGCTCTCATTTGTTGACATGAGAGAAAATAGCACAAGTGGGGTGCCACAAAATCCTGGTTCCAGTGAAGTGGGGTTTCAGAAAATACTGTGAGAAACCACATGTGGGCCCACAGGAATTAAAAAAAAAAAACTGTGTGAAACTCACCAAAATTGACACTGGGCAGATTTCTGGCAAGCTCATACAGTTCAAAACGATGCGGCAGAGGAAATGCTACAAAATCTAAAACTGAGATTGATAGGCAGAAATGGTCTGGGCAATCTCAAGCTAACATGACACTGGCATAGGAGAGTTTACACTGCAAAGATAGCTCAAGCAGGACAAGTTCACATCATTTTTGCACACTGTCAGTCAGTGACACTGAAGAACTAGACAGAATCAGAGCTCAAACTGTTCAGCTTTTATGAAAACCAAGGGGCATGTACAGAAGGAATCATAGAATCCCTACAGTGTGGAAACAGGCCATTTCGGTCCAACAAGACCACACTGACCCTGACAGCATCGCCCCCCCCCCAGACCCCCCCCCCCCCCACCCCCCCCAATCTACACATCCCTGAACACCACGGGCAATTTAGCATGG